GAGCCTCTTCTGCATCCAAGACAGGAAGGGGAAATATTTTCCCTCCAGAACCAGGCTAGGGAGCCTGCAGACCGCCTGATGCTGCAGGACTTCAGCTCCCAGTGCTGTAGCCAGCATGACCAATGGTCAGGGATGATAGGAGCCGTAATTCAAAAATGTCTGGAGGGCCACAGGTTCCCTAGCCATTCTAAAACGAGGCCCTTAGATGTGGTGCATCTCTTCATTCTGTCCTTGCTAAGTTGGAGCTTCTTCCCTCTTTTGGAGCAGTCATCTAGAAATCAGACGCAAACAAAAATTAAGCAAATATTGGAAATGTAGCTCTCATTGATCCAGCAGCTGATCCAGCCCAAGGGTGACTTTTAAAACAATAGGAGTATGGAGTTTTTACATTGGCACCTCATTCGGCGTCGCTCAATGAACTTTCACTTCCAGGAAAGGTAAACAAATATTAACTAAACTGTAAGCTGGCTTTAATGGCTTTTAGCTGGAGAAGCAGAATAAAAGCATCTAAATCAGGGGACAGGGACTTCATAGAATCATAGAACTGCAGAGTTGGAAGGGACTCTGAGGTTCATCTAGTCCAACCCCCTGCAATGCAGGAACATGCAGCTGTCCCATATGGAGATTCAACCTGCAGCCTTGGTGTTATCAGCACCACACTTCAACCAAGTGAGCTATCCATTTTTTTTTTAAAAAATAATATTTATTGCTTTTATACCTTACAAAAAGAAAAAGGAAAAAAGAAGAAAGACAAGAAGAGAAAAAAAAGCAAAAGAGAAAACAATACAATACAATATATAAACAATACAGAATGCAACATTAACATTAACCAAACAAAAACAATAACAATTCAAAAACACACACATCGTATCATCTCAGTATCCTCTCTTTCATTCCCTTGTTTCATCGACCTCCTCTCACCTCCCTTTTTGTATTCCATTTCTATTAATTGTTTCAGCAAATCCTTTCCATCTTTCTCTATTTTCTGTCATATAATTATCTTAACATATTTTAACCTTATTTTCCATTAATACTATAATACTTATTTATACTTAATTACTTAAGATATTTCTACTAAAGCCATATAATTCACTTCCAACATTTTTCTAACACTCATTAATTTTACATTATTTCCATATTGTGATGGGATGATGAGCTGCTTGTGCGTAAAATCGTATCCCCTCAGAGTTTGTTCAAGTCCACAAACCTCTGTCTGTGACAGAGCCCCTCAGACATGGCTACTCTAGTCACTAGCAGATTCCGACAGTGGTTGCTTTCGTAATCGCTTCCAACATAAAAGCTCCTTAACGGAAACACGTCTTCTGGA